CCACCAGGGTACTACCGGAACGTACCCTGGGTACGTTCCGGTATACCGGAACGCACCCTGGTAACTATCTGATATGGTTAGGGTTAGGGAGTAGGCGTAGGCGACTCCCTAGACTCGTTAGTGGAGTAGGCGAGGTACGGTCCGGCATATTAGATACTACCGCACGAAGGGTCATTGTCGTAACAGGACACAGGTACTACAGATATGTACCCGAGGTAGTTTTAGGTTATTTAGTATTATGTTTATATTTTTATATGAGGTATGTTTAGGGTTAGGGTTAGGGTTAGAGGAACTAACTGACTCTCGTTACGGGAAAGGCCTGATCTCTAAGCTGTCTTCCCTTGACGGTCTTGTGACGGCTCACGACATTGACCTGTTCTTTGCCGTCCGCGCATGCGAGGGTATAGTTATGGTTTCTTTGCGGTGATTAGGCCCGGCCGGCTTCGAGTGTTTATCTAGTGCCTTTACCGAGCGTCGTGGCTTAGATCATAATCAAGTGACCTTTGGGTGAGTGGGAGGTGGAGTTTGCTTGCGCGTTTCCTGTGAAGGAGCAACGCTATTATACACAAGCTCGTGCGAGAGAAGTAATTAAGCTGAGCTTTTACATCGACAGGCCCTCGCGATATTATTGTATCCCCGAACGAAGCTTCGTGGGGATACTATGGATTTGGCATCGTCGCGCCGCCGGCCGCGCCGCCGCCGCGTTAGAGATTTTCCTTGTGAACGCTCTCCGCCTGCAGTTCTTCTCGGATCATCTTCAAAATTTCGAAGGGGGGGCATGCATAGTGTGCGTTATCGTAGCCGAAGCTATACGTTTTTTGGTCGTGGGCGGGAGTCATTGTTTTGCCATGGTAAAACATTTTTTCGTCGCAATATTCTCAGAACCTGTAGCATTCTGCACGTTTTTACCCGATTGTCATGAAATTATATTTGTTATTAAATTTAATTAAAAATTAAAAAAAATAATTAAAAACATATTTGTAAAAAATATTAAAAATCAAAAATATTTTTATTTAAAATTCTTGTATTTAAATTTTTGATTGTCATCAAATTATTATATATATTATCTATTTATAGGAATGTTTATATCGGGCCCTGATGTGCCACTTCCATTGGACAATCCAGCGATAAAAACAGCACAAGCTTACAGGTTCTACAATATTTCACAAACAATGTTGTTACCATGGCAACGATGGACTACGCCCACACCAACGATTGGCGTCTTCCGCTTTACCATAACGCACACCTTCATGCACCAAATTTTGAATGGATGATCCGAGATCGGGTAAAAACTGCCACCAGGTCACTGCACTTTATTTCACCTTTACCTTTGATTCTTTGATCAGTATTTCTCTTCCGCTCTCTAAACTCAGCCCTAATTGACTTAGCCGCGACTAAACTTGGTATTAGTTTACACATTCTTCGGGAGACGTGTCTTTGTGCCATACAAAACCACACTGCTCCGTTGACCTTAGTTTACCTTCACGTCGATTACAGTTTCCTCTTCGGCCTTCTAGGGTAACAGATTCCATATTACTCTCCACATCTGAGGCCCACAGTTGTCTAACAACCTGTTGGTCTTTGTGATTATTTAAACTTTAGCCTGCCTTCTAACGTCGCTTACAAGAGATATTCCATTCATACTAGATCAACGGGGGATACATGTAGTGGCGACAACTGCCGTTTCTAGTTAACACTATATCACGTGGAGATTATATCCCATAGCTTGATTAGCCTAATATAATAATGAAGATAAGATATATCAATTAGCAAGGATATTACTATATATCAGTTGATCTATTGAATTACAATATATTTTTTTTTTTTTTTTTTTTTTTTTTTTTTTTTTTTTTTATTTTTTTTTTTTATTTTTTTTTTCTTTTTTTGTATTTATATATAATATATTATATATACTATTTTAATATATTTATATATAATAATATAATAATTATTAAATTATTATGCATTGATAATAAGATGTGTTATGTAACTTACGAGGAAAATCGTTGTTACAGTGTATATGACCCTTACGGTAAGCTATAATACGCCACAGTATTGACTATAACGCCGGATTGACTGTTATAGTAAACTATAGAACATATCAGTATTGAATGTAAGGCCGGGGTGAATTTTGCAGTTTACTATAGTGCATATTAGTATTGACCGCAAGGCTGGGGGTTACCCTTACAGATATATTGTTTGTAATGTGTTAGTCACACCCGTACTGAAGATTGGGGTGACACTCACAGCAGCTACCCGGGGGGGGGGGGGCATCCATATATATTGCATGGTAGGTATGCTGCCGCAGGAGAGACCTCTATTTTCTTATTTTTTACCGTCCGGGAGACCCTATGTTTTTTTAACACTTCCGTCTTCCAGTGCATCGGTTACTTCAGAATACGTTGAAAGCCGGGCGTATGGCGTGCATGCAACGCTGCACATTTATGGAAATGGGATGGATGGTCAGCTTGCTGCTGCTGTTCTTGTTTTTCGACCATTTTCGAATGATGGCAGTTCCAGAGATCCACATTCACAAAATTAGTTCCAGAAGACCCCCATTTTCAGGCCTGAGCTTCGTTCCAGGCCCCCATTTTTTGACTTGTGCAGTGCACATACCTACCTAATGTGGGGTGCGTGCCCCTCCGGGAGCAAGCTATATTACCACAAATATCGACGTAAGCGCCGGGCGTGACCCTTACAGTACGGGATATACAGTAGCATAACATATCAGTATTGACTTGTTAAGGCGGGTAACATAGCGCAGCAAGCCGCGTGACCGTTACGATATAATACTAGTATCAGTTGATAGTATATATAAGTGTAATTGACTGGTAGCTCGCGGGTGACCCTTATAGTTATGTGGTCATATGTAGGTATATTGACTGTGAGACCGGTGTGGTTGCCGGTGACCCTTACACCAAGTTATAATACAGATTAATATTGACTGTAAACCCGAGTGACCGTTATATAGTAAGGCCAAAACAAATATACTGTGTTGGGTTACCGTTACATGCTGAAAAAATTAGGGTAGGTAGGGGTGATAGGGAAACATTTATTTTCTTGAATATTTTATTTACGACCGAAGGATGGTGGTGGTGCCTTTTGAAGCAGGACTTGTCCCAATTCAATAATTAATTTATTATATATATATATACTTAATATTATTTCATATACAATTTTACAAGGTTTATTATCATTAAGTCTGTCTTGCATGATCGCGCAAGCGTGAAAACTCTGAGTAACAGCAACAAAGGTGATGCTCTTGTGATTTATCTATCTACATATATATATATATAAATTTTTTTTTTTTTTCTTTACTTAAGAAAACTTGACAACTTAATGTTTAGGCGGTCGCCTGGAGATAGAATAGGGGTCGGTCGGGAAACCGTAACCACACTCTATTTGTTTGGCCCTAAGCTTGTACACACCAGATTGACTGCGTAACACA